AATCTTATTGTCAAAAGAAGAGTTTAAAGAATCGATATAAATTTTGAGCAAGCTCATTTGAAGTCAGTTAATTGAGTATTTATTCAAAAAAGAGAGCACGCTTGCTTAACAGCACACTAATAGGGACAGTTACCCTAGAATATTAATTAAAGTAATACAAGAATATAAGGCCTATACAAGCCATTTTTTATTAATTAAAGTAATATAAAATTTATATATACAAATGTGGTAACACAATATGAGGATTAAATACTATAGAAGAAATATATAAAAATAGAATATATAAAAATGGAATCAATTTAAATAAATTGTATAGACATACTTTGTTATTATTTTGTATATATTTATTTTCGTGCACATAGCACAGAATAGAACCGCACGCTCGTGGACATGGTTGCGTAGTTTCAATGTGCACCACCCTCGTGGACATGCGCTAGTTTACGGGGCGGAAAAGTGATTACACATTCTCTTATGAGTCTGGCCGCTCTTAGGCTTTTTTCTGCTCTTAGTCAGTCTGTTTTACCTAGTGAAACTCTATGGGTACCCATAGACGTGTAATATATAGACTGCGCGTTTGGCTAAAAAGATGTATTCAACGTTGAGAGAGACAACATACTTTGAATAGTAACTCTTTCTCTGTCTATCATTTACCCCACTACTTCGCTAGACAAAGATGAGGCTACTATTCAACACCAGCTGTCTCTCTCTCAACGTTGAAGACATTTTCTTAACATGGCAAAAGTAGGGAACGCGCAGTCTATATATTATACGTCTATGTGGGTACCACTGAACTATAATATGAAACGCGCCTTGCCATTGTGCGAGCGTCCGCGATAGAGAGCATCACAACTAGGATCTCAGTCTTTGTCTCGTCGTCGCTGATTGGTTGAATTTATACGAGTACAGTCTAAGACAAAAGAACAACGAAAAGTAAGGCCTGTTCTACAATACTGTCGTAAGCTGTAAGTCGTAAGAAATTGACCAATCGCAATCGATTATTCTTCTGTAATTGGTCTGTGATTGGTCAATTTCTTACGACTTACGGCTTACGACTGTATTGTAGAACAGGCCTAAAGAATGACTGCGTTCAGCAGAAGAAATCAGCGCTTACGAGTGCAGTCCAAGACAAAAGAACAACGAAAAGTAAAGAATGACTGCATATTAGCAATTGCTGAGCGTTCTTGATATTATTAATGATTAATTTTTTATTTATAATAAAGTTTATTTTTTTATTAGAACATTATAATAAAGTTCTTATAATAAAGTTTTTTCATTAAGTATTGTTTGACTTATGAGGGTTGAATATTAGAGTATCGCAGATATTAACATTATCTATTAACGTTATCACTCATTTCGAATGTTGCTTTATCCAAAAAACTTATGTTGAATAGGAAGTTAGGTTCTTCGTTCAATTCTCTGCATCATGAGCTCACAAAATTTGTTTTGATCGAAATCATCTTTGTAGAAAATATACCGGCGGTACTCTAATATTTAACCTTCATAACTCAAAAAGTACTGAATAAAAATAAACTTTATTCTATTGTTTTGGAAAGCTCTTGAATTAAGCTATAAGAATCTGCTACAAAAAATAGAGACTTTTATTAAAACATCGATGTGACCTTGACCTGACCTTGGCGGCGTCATCCAAGTTCACAATCACTAAATAGATCCTTTTAAACTCTATAACTTTTATCTGAAACACTTTTTCGTAAAATGTCTAGTTTTTGAGATTTTTCGCGATACCGGTATTTTTTTTATACACTCTATATATAATGTACTTTCTACTCGTTTCGCAATCTGGTTAGATTACATTTTGCGGTATCGGTCAATTGATCGGATTATTTAATCGGATACGCAAAAAAATCGGCGAAAACTTACCCGGCCAAGTCACAATTAGATTCAGTTGCCGGTACTCGAAGAAAAAAAGCAGCAAAAATTTTATTTGTCGCGCGCTGATGATCCGCGAAGATAAGCAGTTACGTAACGAGACGTGGACTTTTCTAAAAGTTTATAACTTTATAAATATTTCAGAGAGAGCAAAAGAATTTCTTGATACAAAAATTTAACAACTCCCGCCGCGTATTTCAACTTTTTCCTAATACTGATTTTCGTCCGCAACAAAATGTCGCGTATTTCTTCCTTTCTTTCTCGATTATATTATCTTCCGTTTTCTCTTTTTTACCCGCTCTTTTTTCTATTTCGCTTTATATACTTACTGACTTTCGTTCTCTCTCGAGCATTTTACGAAAGATACTCCGATAAAAATGACAGAGCCAACGAGGAAGCGTATCCCTGAAAGAAAGATTTTGATTTCCCGTCGCGGTTAAAACTTTCGCGTTCGTATAAATATCGAATATCCCGGATGTCAATTGGACTAGCAAAGTTTCGCGCGTTCTTTTCAATGAATTTTTTTAAGAAAAGGAAAGCACCGCGAGCATTGTAGACGCTGCAAATGCGACAACGAAACCTTTTTGTTGCTGAAAAATTGCGTAAGATCGATATTGTCGTTATTTGTCATCGAGACAGGTCCATTTCGTTCGAAATTAAAGAATTGAAAACGAAATAATAACTAAGTGAAATCTCTGTGCGAGTCGATAATCGAGAGTGGATGAATCGTTTAGAAAATTAGCGTAACTACCGCATATGAGCTGCATTTATCGAAAACTTAATTTATTAAATAGTATTTACAATATTAAAGACAAATAAACTGTACCAGTAAAAATTACATACAGTATTTAAAACAAATTACGCATACAAAATCTTTATTTCTTATAACTTTAAAAAACCTTTAAAAAACTATTAAACGTATTTTTGCTATATATCCTATAAATGTGGATTGTATGGATAAATTTGCATTTTATAGAGTGACTTCATCGATCTCAATGACCTTACCATACGTTGTCAAGAACATGGATTTGAATAACAATCAAAAGGTTTTAACCGTCACTCGTTCTTTGTAAAAACTTTATGGACAACAAAAGTTTCATTTAATGAATTTGATTCATCGAGAAACAATAGTTCATTAAATGAAACTTTTTTTGTCCATAAAGTTTTAACAAAAAACGAGTGATGGCTAAAACCTTTTGATTGTTATTCAAATCCATGTTCTTGACAACGTATGGTAAGGTCATTGAGATCGATGAGGTCACTCTATAAAATGCAAATTTATCCATATAATCCACATTTATGGGATATATAGCAAAAATACAGGAGTTTTTTAAAGTTTTTTTAAAATTATAAGAAATAAAGATTTTGTATTCGTAATTTGTTTTAAATAAAAGACTGTATGTAATTTTTTTTACTGGTATAGTTTATTTGTCTTTAATATTGTAAATACTATTTAATAAATTAAGTTTTCGATAAATGCAGCTAATATACCGTAGTTTCGCTAATATTATTTACACATAATATATGATATTTTAAACGTAATATGTCTTATATTGTGACTTACTAACTTTGCGCCGAGATTCTTTGCAATTGGAAAATTCATAATCACATTGTCGATCCGCGTAAACATTATGGACATACGTTAAAACTATTTTAAACTGATGTGATAAAAAACAGCTAGCTAAATAAAAAATACAAGAACGTGTTTGTGATTTGTTATATTTTATCCTTTATTACACTTCTATTATATTCAAATCGCAAAATAATCGCTTTTTATAAAAATCTTGTAATAATCATAAAAACTTAGCGGCTCAAACCTCACAGTTATTTTAATGTTACAATGATGTCTTTCTGCAAACGTGTTCCCAATTTCTTGGAATTTAGTAGACATCTAATAAATCTTGACAAATACATAAATTTTATGGGAACAGCACGGAGAAGGGAACTTTTGCCAAGAAACGGTTGCTATAGTCAAGTAAGTATGGCGAGAAGATATAGTCGAAAATTGGATTCGTTATTCTAAACAGCTCCAAATAATTGTGACTTATTAACTTTTCGAAGAGATTCTCTGCAATTGAAAAATTCATAATCACATTGTCGATCCGCGTAAACATTATAGACATTATTTTTGTAAATAAATAGTTAAACAACGGTTTTGTAATTAAAACAATTTAAAAAAAAAAGAAAAAACCGATTGTCCACTAATGGCGATGGTATCAAATACAATAACTTTTTATTATGTAACCGACTAGTTATTCAAAATGTTTTATTGATTGTAACATTATTCTTTAGACTGAGAAATATAAATCCGGTCATAAGAGTCGTTCGCAGGATGTTGTGCGGAAATATGTGTGTATATATATATATATACATATACGTGTTCACATGTAAAGTTTTACACATGAGTTTTTGAATTGAAATTTCAATTCTTATAATCATATAAGATGCTAGATTTGCATCACCTATATGAGAGACCCCGTATACTTCCCTAACTAATTTTTAAAATATTGCAAAAAATTCTTCAGTTTGGCTGAAGATGATCTAAACGAATAAATACAGATCGAAACGTTGGTGGTATTAAACATAATAATTCAACTCACAATGTCCCGTTACGATTGTGAGTTGAATTATTGTGTTTGAAACCACCGCCATCAGTGAACAATCGGTTTTCGGATCTTTATTTAATTATTATTTTTGTAATAAAGTAAGTAAGTTCTTGCCCATTGCTTTGTTGGGGAATACTCCAGTGCAATGTATGTTCAAGTTTCCATCGTTATTAAGTATTTTGAAATCTTCCACAAACCAAACGTCGTTCGTCACACAACCTGTGAGAACCCAGGTTTCTTTGACGTTGGTCTTGATTACCTCACAGTGTCCTATCACATTAATATCAAAATGAATATTACATATTACGCCGGGAAATAGGGAAAATTTATATGCATATAGTTTGCATGGGGAGTTTACTGTCGTACCTTTTCTTTGTATTTCAAAAAACCCACCAATAGTTAACTTGAGGATGTAGGAAGTAAGAAAAGTTATTTGCTTTTTGAAAATATCAATTTGCAAACGAAAGACATTGTCATCGTGTAAGCTCGGTATCACATCGTCGAAATCGATGTTACTTAAGCCAATCACGGTAAAATTCAATGCGTTTAGTTTTATATTTATTTCGCCCAAGTCAAATTCAAATGACTCATCTTTATGTACTAATGGATCCAAAGGTGGAAAATCAAATTCTGGTATTCCTGTTATCTCAAAAAAAGATTAATAAAAATGATTTTACTCTCTTTCTCTCTCTTTATAACCACAGTAAAAATTAACCCAGTCAGAAATCGACGTCGATCAACCGTAGATCGACTAGTATAATCGACGTCGAATCGACGTCGATTCGACAAGGTATTTCTGACTGGGTAAATTGTGACAAATTGTGGATATCTGTCTAACCGTTTACAAATCGCGGCCATGCTTCTTTTATCGCATCTTTCAAGCAGGCAGAATAATCAGACGAAGAAGACTTTTTGCAGGTATCTACAGCTGAAAGAGAATAAAATAATATTGAAGAAAACATAATGCACTTTCGAACAAAATTAATAATAATAATTCAGAAAAACGTGGCAAATTTGAGCAAATAAACTGGGTGTTCGCGTTTGATTTAAAGTGTAGTTTATTATTGTAAATTGATTATTCAAACGTTTCGATCGTGTTTCTGACCTTCTTCAGTGAAAAATCTACATTAAGTAAAAAGACCAGTAAAATTATGAAAAGTTTAAATAATTATGGAAAAAATATTTTTGATAAAAAGTGCTTAAGATGTAATAAAGATTACACTATCGCATTCTTACCAAAGTTAATTAATGTGGAGTACTTCCCATATAAAAATCGCCCTGTTCTCACAGCATTTCAAAGTCATCTAAGTCAATTATAGTAAACACAGAAATTATTTAAATAACACAAAAATTAAACAAGATAGAGATAACAACGATCAGATTCAAAATTAACACATACTTAGTCAATATAAAGACCGAAAATGGAACTAAAAAAATAATAAGATGTGTACAGTTGAACAACTGCAAAGGATATGGAAATTTATATATAATTTATGGGAAGTACTCCACATTAATTAACTTTGGTAAAAATGCAATCTTTATTACATCTCAAGCACTTTTTGTCAAAAAAATTTTTTCCATCATGTTTAAACTTTCCATAATTTTACTGGTCTTTTTATTTAATATAGATTTTTCACTGAAGAAGATCAGAAACATGATCGAAACGTTTGAGTAATCAATTTACAATAATAAACTACAGTTTAAATCAAACGCGAACACCCAGTTTATTGGCTCGAATTTGCCACGTTTTCCTGAATTATTTTTTAAACTCTCACGAGTTTCTATTACTTGATTAATAGAAATACATATTTTAGAAACCCGTGATGAAATTTTGCCACACAATCGTATACGTCGCTAGAAGTTGTAATTGAAAAATATAATTTTTTTTCGTATATTTCTACATTATTTTCTGCAAAATTACATTACACACACGTAGAAGAATTGTAAAGATAACTTACGGAGCGTGAGCTCGTCTGCTAATCCAAACGCCGCAATACATATAACACAAACTATATGGAATATCATGTTGTTCGCCAAGTTGAGAATGAACAGTCAGACGCATGTACCAGCTTTTATAGCTTTAAATTGTCCTTGATAATCACTATTTATGCATTTATTTGTGCGTGTCTATATTGATGTTTTAATCAATTGTTTGATTATTATTTTTAAGAATGTTGAATAAAACAAAAGATACTATATTTGTCAAGTTTATGAGACAATCGATAGATTATAAATAATGATTAACAGTTGACTGAGAATTAATATCGGGCTCTGACGTTTTTCAAACGAATAAATGAATATATAAATAGTCGTGAAGAGCCGTTCGCTGGATGTTATGCGGCAAATATGTCTGTATATATATGTGCGTGTACACACATATAAACGAATTCACGTTTTCACGTATTTTTGAATTGAAATTTCAATTCATAAAATCATACAGGATGCTATATTTGCATCTCATGTATGAAGGACCCCGTATACCCCCCGAACTAATTTTAAAATATTGCGAAAAAAACTTCTCAGCCAGGAGTCGAACCTGGAATCTCCGGCTTTCCGGGCCTTTCCTGTCACACACACCAGGCGCGCGGCTCACTGACGTGCGCCTGGCTAAATGTCTGCGCTGATTGGCCTGATTTATTCAATAATTACTCTTTTATTATAAATAATAGAAAAAAATGATTCAGGACTTTTCGACTCAGTTTTACTCCTTCTACCTGCCTACGAGAGATTGTACGGTAATTCTGGGACACCTTGTATATATAGACATATTTTTGCCGCATAACATCCAGAGAACGGCTCTTCACGACTATTTATATATTCATTTATTCGCATAAATAGTGAGTTTATTTCGGAAATACGTAGTAAGAATTATAAAAAAAATTATGTATTCCATCACAAATGATCTGACTTGAAAAAAGATATGTATGTTCTTTTTTTGACGCTCATAAAAAGTAATATCATCACAAAACGTTTATATTTGCATTACAATTTCTCATTATATGTTTATATTTGCATTACACTTTCTTTTTTAACACGTTGACTACCAAGTGGTCAGAAAATCTGACATCATTAAATTTTTTTAGAATATAAATTAAGATAAGATGAATTTTTTTAACAATTAACGATAAACAGAGAATTTTTTTTTCTCGGGCTCTGAAGTCATTAAACTAAATGAATAATAAATATATACTAGGTCATAAGAGCCGTTCGCAGGATGTTTTGCGGAAATTATA